TAGGGCTAGGGCAAACAGCGACGAGCCACTTGTAAACCGGGTGAGGGCCATGGCCCCTGGTCTCTTGAAAATTTGTTGAATAGAGTTATATATTTCATAAAAATTTAAATAGCACTTAGATTTTGAAAAAATAAATTATTTATTTTAGAAATTATTAAACTATATTTATTATTTTCTTTTAATTCTATTTAAATATTTGTCTAATAGGTAGCATTGTGTCTCTATAAACTATTAATGAAATTTTCTTGTATTTGATGTTTCACTTTATATTTAATGGAAAAACAAAAGTTTATTATTCCTTTGGCAACTATTTTAAATATATATGTGTATTTAGTTATGAGTGAATGATGAATTTTATTTTTCAATATAAAAATCATTACCTACTTATAAACAGTCTTTATTTTTTAAAATAATTTTGATTACCTATCATATTTTTGCTGCTTTTTAGAAAATTAAAATATAAATTTTAAGATTTACATTATCCAATTTTCTTCTTTTGTACATAGTAGTATTGTAGTTGCCCCTCTACTATAAAATTCTAGCCCGCCCCTGACTGCGAAGTGCACGCCCTCAAAAAATTATTGCATCGGTGAAGAATCAAAGCTACTTTGCCTTGATTTTATGTCTTTTCTTAAGGCTGCCTTGGAGATGGTTGTATATTGTGACTCTGCACAAAATATTGTCCATATCTATATTTGGCTCTATTAATTTGGATTAATTTATTCAATTTCAATCTATAACTAATACCCACAGTTGATTATTATTATGACTTATAATTATTTTTAAAAGTGTTTTCTATTTGAACTTAGATACATGATTCAAGTGATTATCATGTGAATATTTATCCAAACAGTTAGAGTTTGATTCCGCTTATTTCTATTCTTTCCTCCCTCACCCTCAATTCCCCTAGTTAAAAAAAAAAAAAAAATATAGAGGTATTATGTACTTAAATAACAAAAATAGTATATTTTAAGTCAAACTACACATTTATACATTTATTAAAATACCTTTAATATTTTTTTTGTATTATTTTATTTTCTTAATAACATTTTAATAAATTTAGTGTCTAATTTTATTGTGTAATATTACTTGAAAAACATAAATTTCTTTAGTAATTATTCTAGTAAATAATTACTAAAAATATACATATTGCAATTACATAATTTAATTTAATTTATAAAACAATTTTAGAACTGCGAAGTTGATGAGAATGTGAAGACCCAAAAGTTCGGATCATCCCTTCCTCTTGCATGGCCGCTATTTATAGTTTTGTCATCAATCAAATCCAACCGTCACGTAAACACTCCGACAAGATTCCATAACCTCCTCGGACTCTTCCCTTCACCGCCTCCCCAGGTTACATTCTAATACAAGTAGTAGACCCAGACCAAACCACAGGTCTCTTCTTCTTCTCCAATAACCAAGCTCCTGTCTGCACCGCTTGGGGTTTTGAGATTTTTTGTTCTTTGCCCCTCTCTGGTGTTTCCTAACCTTAATCAAAAAATGAAGCTAGACGAGGAGATTTGGCCTGATCGCGAAGATGCATTCCAGACGGACGACGAAGAAAACCGGGCCGAGATGTCATTTAATGGCGACGATGATGACTCCGATTCCGATCACACCCCACCCTCGAGAGTCTCCTCCGAATTAACCAATTCCCCATGGCCTCGGAGTTATAGGTTTTTTTTTTTCATTCCCCATCTCTATCAATTACTTTTTATATTAACTTTTTGAATAGTAA